GCTGAAGATATTATTAGATGGCTTTGAACATAGAATCTTACTATGTGTGTCCAATGACTGCTTCATTTCTGCTCAGTTTATCAGTATATGCTCTAACTTGGTCCATATATGCATGCAATTAAGCATAATCAAAATATCAAGATATTCAGTTTAGCTATGTTGGAAAACTTGCCAAAACGTCTGTACAGTGCTCTGGTGCAATACTAGGACCAGTATCTGTCGCATCGAAAATTTTGTGCACACTTCATTGCATTATAGGGTATTTTCACCACTGATGACATGTGAAAGCCTTCTACACAGTACTTGGCTGCAATCTTAAAACCAATATCTGTCTCATGAAAAATTGTCAGATGCATTTTGTAGATGCTAAAGGATATTTAAGCTACCAGCAAAGTGCTAAAGCCTTCAACAAAGCACTGATCTGCAATCACCATTCAACTTAGAAGTCATTTGTAGTGCTCTCTAACACGTTCAAATAAAGTTATCAAACACTGGAATGATCTACTTGGTTTGGTTCATGATACCAGTGTGTCTGACGTTTTTCATGCACTTGCTCTATTTCTCTCATTTTTTACCGGGCTCCTCTTAAGATGTATTGATATTTGTTTACGTTGGCACATTTATTGCGATACTACTGTTTTAATGCTTTCATTTTGCATTTATGTGCATCACTCCTGCAGTAGCCGTGTATTCGGCTGCAGTATTTAATAATAAATAATTACATCATCCAAAAGGGTACAACGCAGTGCTCGGTTCCAATCTCCTGATTGATATCTGTTGCATCATGAAGTGTCGGGTGTGGTTTATTAGAGAACATTTTGGCTGCAGACAGTGTTCAAAAGCCATCCGAACTGAGTCAGTTGCAATCTTATGACCGATATCTGTGACCTGATGAAGTTTTGTGTGGAATTTGTGTTTTTAGAGAATATTTTGACTACAGACAACGTCCAGAAGTCTTCCATACAATATTCAGTTGCAGACTTTTGAGCAATATCTGTCACATGATGAGGTTTCAGGCACAGTTAGTTGCGTTAGAGGATATTTCGACAACAGGCAATGCTCAAAAGCATGCTACGCAGTGCTTGGTTCCTATCTTACGTCAATATATGTTGCATCGTTTAGAGCCAACTGTGCTTTCTTGCATTACAGGATATTTCTAATACAGACATCATCAAAAGCTTTCCATACAGGGTTCAGTTGCAATCTTATGATCGATATCTCTGACATCACGAAGCGTCGGGTGTGGTCTGCCACTGAAGAGTATATTTTGACTGCTGACAACCAAAAGTCTTCCATACAGGGTTCAGTCGCAATCTTATAATTGATATCTGTGACTTCATAAATTGTTGTGTGTGATTTGTGTCTGTAGAGAATATGTTGACTACAGAGAACGTCCAGAAGTCTCTCATACAAGATTCAGTTGCAGTTTATTGAGCAATATCTGTCACATGATGAAGTGTCAGGCACAGTTAGTTGCGTTAGAGCATATTTCGACTACAGACAATGTCTAAAGGCATTCTACGCAGTGCTTGGTTCCTACCATATGACCAATATCTGTTGAATCATTGTGAGCCAGGTGTGCTTTCTTGCATTGGAGGAAATTTCTAATACACACATAATCAAAAGCCTTCCATACTGGGTTGAGTAGCAGTCTTATGAACAATATCTGTGACATCAAGAAATATCCTAGACGTGAATTTTCATTCTCTGGAGTGGCGCACGCACCGCTGTTGATTTCTGGTGCATACCGCTTTAGAGAATATTTTCACTACAGACAACGTCCGGAAGTCTTCCATACAGGACTCATTTAGTACAGTATTATGACCAATATATCTGACATCATGAAGTGTGAGGCACAGTTAGTTGTGTCAAAGCGTATGTAATCTACAAAAAAATGTTCAGAAGCATTCTACGCAGTTTCTATCTTATGACCAACATCTGTTGCATCATTAAGAGCCAGGTGTGGTTCGATGCATTAGAGGATATTTCTATTGTAGGCAACATCTGAGGGCCCTTTACCTGGGGCTTTATTGGAGTCTTATGACCTAAATCTGTCACATCATGAAGTTTTGGGAGTGATTATTAAGTTGATGAGAGCTGTAAGTTATGAAGTGTAAATGCACTGAATGTACCAGGATATTCAGAATATAATGAATTTGGTAGTGTAGGTATAGCAACCTGGTGATTAATACACCTTGGTTTTTATAAACCTGATTTATAAACATAATTAGTGGGCGACCGCCTCTTGGTCACCGAAGAGAGGGGGGTGTAGTGTCAGCTCCATAGATTACTATAATATGGAGGTGGACGCTAAGGCAGCCCCTACATTGACATAATAGGGAGCTACTGTAGCGAACATCCCCCCCCCCCTTAAGGAGAACCCTGCGCACGCCTATGATAGACGCACACTATCCTAGACGTGAATTTTCATTCGCTGGAGTGGCGCACGCACCGCTGTTGATTTCTGGTGCATACCGCCGTATTTACTTTGCTCGCTGTCATGTTAATTACTTCTAATATAATCGAAACTGTGGCGGGTGAAGCACTACCAATATTTTAACGCGCTGTCATATTTTCGGCGTCGTACGAACCCGCTCCAGTCCAGAACGCGCCGTTCTGTGCTGAACTAAGAAGGCCAATGATTGCGCGCCCTTTGCCTCCACAGGCGCGACTAGACGCTTTTGACGCGTAGGCGCGTGCGTATGCGTGCCATCGGTTGGCACTTAAGCATTTTTGGTGGGTCGCTTAAACACGTCGCCACTGTTACGTTGGCAGCAGAGCCGCCGCCGGAGACATGAACTAGTCGGTGTCACCAGGCAGAAGACAGCGTTTATTGACCTCTTGAAACTTCTATCATAAAAGAGGGGGAAGGGGTCGAGAGGAAACAAAGAGAGAGAGAGAAGACGCATGCACCTGCTGTTCTGCGTCCACTTCAGCAACTGCTGGCGTTGAAACAACATGTCACTTTAAAACCAGCACAACATTACGAGTCGGACGTAAATGATGCCATACATGGCTTCCAAGTCATCATTACCATGTTTGCCCCTGGCTGTTGTGCTTGTCATCCATTCACGTAATATCAAGTTCGGCATATGCGAATCACTGAAACGGCCGTGAGTGCACTATTAGCGTAGCATGTAGTCATGTTTTACATGACAAGCATATCATAATTGTCATGTTTTGACATGTCATTTATCTTCGTCGTCCATTCACGCTAAGAAATACCGAATTTGGTATATGCGAAGCGAGCGAAACGGCTGCGAGTGCACTATGAGCGTAGTATTTAGTCATGTTACATGACACTCATGTCATGATTATCATGCTTACACCAGCCATATACCTTCCTCGTTCATTCACGTGACGTAATACCAGATTTGGTATATGTGAAGCCAGTGGAAAAACCACAACTGCACCATGACAGTGGCGTCTAGTCATGACTTACATGCATCTCATGATTTTCACATTAGGGCATGTCTCTTATGTTTGCTATGCAGTCATGTCATACCGAATGAGTTTTAATATGATAGCGTAGAAGAGCTCGTTTCGCAGAAATTTAGGTGTCGGCGTTGGTTTCGCTGTTTGCGTTGGTGTCAGCGTCAGCGTCGACGATTGTGAGCGAAAAATCATCCTATGCGTGACCGAAAAAGAGAGCATGATGCAAATAAAATTCATAAATGATGAAAAAATCTTGGAGCAGGCACTACACCGGGGTTGTTTGAGTCTGATGGGGATCAAACCTTGGTTGTTTGTCTTTCAAGTGGATCTTCTACCACACAGGCACGCCACCACTTGCTAAACTGGAGTAAGAACTCTTCTGCTTGGAAACGCAGTGAAAGTACATTTCTGCTTTACAAACACACGCGTCCTGTAAATATGCTTCACAATGCAGCATAAATTAATGCAATTATGTTCCGTGGTACAAGCGTCCATTGCCTACGGACGTCAGAATACGTCATTATCATACTGGCTCTGCGGTTGAAAGTCAGTATCTCCCTTAGAAGGCACACACACTACTGCGCCTATTCCCTTACACGTATAGTGGGTGCATAGTAAATTCTAAAAAGTTTCATGCACCAGGTGTTTGGAATACGCACTACGAACAGGATGCTGGTATCGCGTTCAACTCGTGAAGGCGAAGCTTTAGTGTTCCCTAATTTTGGCAATATATCATGCGAACAAAACCACCGCAAGAGCAGCCAGATTATGACATGTAAATCAGGACGTTCATGACATCAAAGTCATGATTTTCAATTTATGACTAGTGACTTATGCACTTCATTAAATCTTGTTATGTAATACCAATTTCGTTATAGATACGATTATCGAAACGACCAGGAGAGCTAAAAGTCGTAGGTGGCTAAACAGATAGGTAGATCAATAGATTTATTGATTGATTCATTCATTAATTCATTCATTGACAGACAGACAGACAGACAGACAGACAGACAGACAGACAGACAGACAGACAGACAGACGGACAGACAGACAGACAGACAGACAGACAGACAGACAGACAGACAGACAGACAGACAGACAGACAGACAGACAGACAGATAGACAGACAGACAGACAGACAGACAGATAGATAGATAGATAGATAGATAGATAGATAGATAGATAGATAGATAGATAGATAGATAGATAGATAGATAGATAGATAGATAGTAGATAGATAGATAGATAGATAGATAGATAGATAGATAGATAGATAGATAGATAGATAGATAGATAGATAGATAGATAGATAGATAGATAGATAGATAGATAGATAGATAGATAGATAGATAGATAGATAGATAGATAGATAGATAGATAGATAGATAGATAGATAGATAGATAGATAGATAGATAGATAGATATAGATAGATAGATAGATAGACATAAATCGTCAAAGTAACCGAAGTTTGCAAAGATATGCTTCACGTTCAAAAGCGTGGTAAAAGAGCTGATAAATTGCACCATGTAAAAGTAAAAAACTGAAACCGAAAACTGTTGCTTACCATTTTTACAAGTGCCAAAAATATATTGTGTAGGAGCACTCCATTTACCTGTTGGCTTTACATGAAACACATGCTCTGAAAATTCTGAAGTCAGCAGTTTTAATTGTGTTAGTATGGCTCTGACAAAATATATAAAGAAGAGCAGACATTCAAACCTATATTTCGCAAAGTTCGAATATTGAATCACAACATGGCGAAACAGCATCTGGCCATTCTGATATAACATCTTCAAGAACTACACTGGCTGAAGAATACCGCAGTTTGCTTTATTTTTTTATCACTCACAATCTCATGTTCATGCTGTTCACTTACCTCATGTTCACTTATCGATGAATCTTGTAAATAAATAAATTAGTTCCTGACTTGCTGTTTAATCAAAAAATGCATTACAGTTCGCATTTTATTATCTTGTGAAGGGTAACTTATTACACTTCTATTGTTGACGATGCTCGCTGTAGCATACAGGCGTACACCAGAGTGCAGAAGCCATGTTTTTGCTATGAGAAACCCATTTATTTTCTACAATGATGCAAAAGGTTGCGGGAAATAATGAACTGCTACTGCAATTATGCAAGTGTTATTAGTATATATAGCCCCACCACGGTGGTCTAGTGACAATGGTACTCGGCTGCTGACCTGCAGGTCACGGGTTCGCATCCTGGCTGCGGCGGCTGCACTTCCGATGGAGGCAGAAATGTTGTAGGCCCGTGTGCTTAGATATGGGTGCACGTTAAAGAACCCATAGGGTCGAAATCTCCGGAGCCCTCCACTACGGAGTCTCTCATAATCATATGGTGGTTTTGGGACGTTAAACTCCACATGTCCATCAATCAATATTACTATATATAATGCTCATTTTAGCCATACAATGCATGCATACGGCACGGTATGCAATGATGTTTGTGATTTGTCACTGTCTCAACTATTACAAGGAAATGACACTATCCTATTTTGTCATTTCACATCCATTCGGGTAAATAATGAAAAAGGGAAGAGCTGCAGTGGTTGTCGCTGGCGTCTGAAATATAAACTCAACTGACCAAACATCACCATAACTGACGAGGCGTGCTTGAAAATTTCTATATCGTGTCTTCGAAAACGTTCTTCCCTCGCATACCTTTTTCGGTTGACACGATAGCTGAAAAGTTCAACCTTTATTTTCTGGTAGTGGAGCGAAAGCGAAAATTCATCAATTCAACTTTCATAATCATCGTTTGCTTTCAGAATTCAACATTTAAATACACAATTACATTTTAAGGGTGATAAAACATGCAAGAAACACTTAAAATGCCTCATTCCTTCAGAATTTACAAACTACAGGGTCACTTGTATCCTAAACAGCCCAGTTTTTAAGAGTAGGAGAGCACTGAACAATTTCAGTCACTTAGCCTGATCACGTTCGAAGCTGAAGGATCTTACATTGCGGGGCTTCTGACATGAATCCCTGCACTCATAACAGTTGTCTGTTGACTCGACTTAATGTTCAACACAAAAATGTATTTTATAGTATCCGATTCATGGACGTATTTTTCATCTCGGAGATTATGTCATTAAAATGAACATGGACAGATGACAAGAAAAATTGTCCGTGTGTCCGCATGCTTCACTGCAAATGCCTTCCAAAGACTGTAGTCTTCTGTCTGCAGGTTCTGCGCAAGATATGGACGCAACCTCGCAGTAATGTCGAGGAAAGAAAGCGTATGAAGACCACAGAGCTACTGGTAGGTGGCAGCACCCTATTGTCTTAGCGAAGCATAACACCCGCGTTTTCATGCATAGCATTGCAATGTCAACGCAGCGTAAGAAACACTAGGTTTTTTAGCATTACGTATCTACGCCTTTTCTAATAAAAAACGCACCAGCTATTACTCACATATAGATTTTGCACCTCGGATATGCGTGATATTTTCTTTTTGATCTACAATATTCGCAAGTATGAATGCAGCCACCAGAACGAGATGGCTGGACGTTGAGCAAGGTTTTAAACTTTCGCCTGGTGACAGACAGACAGACGAACTAAAATTTCTGCGCTGAAGTATCCAAGGAAAGCCTATCTTTAAATATTTTCAGTTGATCCACGAAGAGAATGCTGATGATGAAGCGAAACTAGTATCTAAGGCCTATATATCTACGTTGGAGTCACAGACTAGTATAAAGGACACAAAAATGGATGGATGAACGCAAAGATGGACAATCGGATAGATGGGCGCACGGAAGGAGACATACACAAACTCACCCATGACGGATTCGCGCACTCATGGACGGATAGAGGAATGAATCGACGCACCGACGGACGGTTGAACGAATGAATGGACGGGCGGGCATGTGCAAAAACTGTCAGACAGACACATGAATCGGCTAAGTACTTTCTATATTCCAACCCTGTTGACGCACTGTGAACGCTCCACGCGCGGTATATGTAATGCCGGTGTTTGACGGGAAGTAACGACCCCGACGACGTCAGCGAAGAGCGTGCGAGTCTGAGGAGTTTTACTCCTAAAAAGTTGGAGGGCGTTTGATCTTCGCCACAAACTAGAACGCCATAGTGCATAACATTTTCTTCTCAAATTAGTAGTCTCACTTCGGTTCTCGGCAAATAATACAAATGTGCTGAAAGAAAGCGAACAGCTACCCAATTAACTCTGGCCGTTTAGAATTAACATATGATTTTCACTGCAAGAACACTTGTGAAGTGCCCGCTTTGATGTTCTTTTCAGCGAAGTGGCCACTACGTGTCCGGAATGCAGCGCCCAAATTCACGCAGCTGCTCACCTTGTTAATCCTGTTGCTGCTGATGATGAGTAAATATGTCCGAGCGCTTTATAACAAGCCGGTTTTTAAACTCCCCACTCATTATGCAGTTCACATGTCATGACTCCTGTCACTATTCTATGTCCCTACTTCGCAACAGGGCCCCTGCGGGCTAGTCTTGCACTTACATGCTCGACTCCTTACCCGAAGATCGCGGGTTTGAATCACGGCCGCGTCGGCCACATTCTCGGTAGAAACGAAAATGCCTGAAGCTAATAATCAAGCGCTCGTCAAAGAACTCCAGGCGGATAAAATATCTGTACCCTTTCTTTACGGCGTCCCACATCGGCAAACTGTATTAGGAAGTTAAACCCGAACAATAACCACGCAATATTACGAGCATCAAAACTACTTACATCATATTCCATTCTTATACAATTTTTAGAAGCAGTTCCAAGCAATGACGTGGTTCTATAGTATAACGCCTGCTTGCCACGCAGAAAGCATAGGTTTGGTTGCACTCCCACCGGAAATTTTACTGTCCTTTATTTCGCATCTATTTCAACTTTTCGCTGACGAGTAATGAACCCAACATCATACTTTCTGCAAAACGAGCTCGTTAACGCTATCGTGCAAAAATTCTACTCCATGGGAAGCGAACCCCCCCCCCCCCCCCCTTCTTCATGCGCGAGGATACGAGACGGGCGCTCTACGCACTGCACTACCGTCACACCCACGCGTACCAGGAGCAAGTGGTTGATTGAAAACGAGAAGAAAGCGAGTGGAAAGCTCTACAAAAACGTCTCTTATTCCTTACACCTGCTCACTGTCACGGTGCTCCGAGTCATCAGGAATGGTGCAGCCATACATGAGCGTTCACGCAAGTGACTACCATGGCCTATGAAATTTGGGGAGCCAAATCATGGAGATCAAGTGATTACACGGACGAATGTCGCCAGACGAGCGCAATGCGAAGGCAAACGGTGGAAATCCGTGAGCGCGAGTGGTTTGATTCGGTGATTACGCAGTAACGTGCCTAGCATTCCGCATAGTATGAACGTGTGACACCTTATCGCCTTCGTGGTTTAAATATTCTGGTAGTCTGTATGTGTTCCGTAGCTTTCACACAAACCAACGGAAAATAGAATGCATTAGCACGTTCATTGCTGGAGCTACGTGTTGATAAAGTTGTGGCCAATGATACCCCGCAGGCTGCCATAATTCGCCCTAGAAAAGCAACGAACAGACAGCCATAAAAAAAACAACCTATACTTGCCGGAGCCAACACGCCGAACTTTCCATTCCACTTAATGTAATTACGGTTTTACCTTCCCCAAAGTCACGTATACCAGCAGGGTGCGTTTCAACACGACGCCACGCGAGATATACGAGGTGGCCATCGACAATTTTTTTTATGGAAGTGAGTAGATAAATGACCATGCTTTCGGAATTGGTCGTGGTCATGAGCGTTAGTCGATGATATGTAGATGTGCCAATAGGCATCTACATGACGGCATTCATACCAAATGAATCCGAGTCGATGTGCGCGTTCAATCGCATTATGTGGCAGGTTGTCGATTATGTCATTGAGGCATTTTACAATCTTTTTCTCTGATTCATCCCTCGATTCGCGCGAGTCGAGGATTCCTCGAAAGATAATGTTGCTGCGCCTTGACTGGTCCTATAACTCGTTTAAACGTAACTCTAAGCTGTCAACTCGAGCTTCCAGGTTAGCTACGCTGCCTTCAACGCCGGCAATGGTATCTTCTAGCTCGTCTATACCCTTCGTAAGATCCTTGAGCACATTTTGTAATCACATTTAGCGAACTTCCTCGAGACGAATGCTTCTTTTACACCATCCCAACATGGCTTTCGTAAATCATATTCTTGCGGAACACAGCTGGAATTATTTACGCACAATTTAAACCTTATTCTCGACCGTTCATCACAGGCAGATTGCATATTTTTAGATTTCAGCAAAGCTTTCGATAAAGTATGTCACAAACTTCTCTTGCTTAAACTTCAGTTCCTTCATCTAGATTCAAAACTCTTAATCTGGATTGAATGTTTTTAACTAACCGTTTCCAATTCGTCAGCGCTAACGACAATGAATCTGAGCTAAGTGCTGTGCGCTCTGGTGTGCAACAAGGCTCAGTTCTTGGTCCGCTCCTCTCTTTAATCTACATTAATGATCTACCCTCTAATGTTACTAGCAACATTCACCTCTTCGCTGACGACTGCGTGATCTTCCGAGAAATAACATGCACTAACGGCTCATGTATTCTTCATTAGGATCTTAATGCAATTTCAGAATGGTTTAACGGAATTAAACACAAATAAATGTAAACTCACGTGCGTACTTAGTATCTTACTACACCGCCAGTGTACTACCTAGATAATAACCTATTAGAAAATCTACCCTGTTACAAATACCCTGAAGTGCACATCACAACTAACCTAACCTGGAACGTTCATATCACCTATGTAATTAACAACGCCAACCGTATGCTTGGGTACCTACGCCGTGACTTTTCAAAGGTCCCTTCCACACTAAAATTACTCCTATACAAAACACTAATTCGCAGAAACCTAGAATACGTAGCAGCAATATGGTATCCCTTTCATGTCAATTTAATACAGTCACTAGAAATGGTTCAGAACAACTCGGCTTGTTTCAATACATGTAATTACAATCGCAGCACAAGCATATCATCCATGAAAGCTGGCATTAGTCTACCATCTCTTGCATCATGACGTAAACTTTTCCGATTATGTCTTTTTCACAAGCTCTACCAGCATGCCTACTTACATCACAAATTCATAATTCATCCTCATCACGTTTCACAATGTCTGGATCACGCCTTCAAAGTCGGCATGCCTTTGTGTAGAACTAACTTGTCCCTCGCAGTCCCTCGCACTCGCAGTCCCTCATGCCACATACCTCGAAGGATTGGAGTGGCCTTCCAAACCCGACAGCAACCGTTCGAGATTTCAACCTTTTCAAGAACGCAATAGCTAACATTGTATGACCAGAAACATGCTGACTGTATAACTATTGTTCTCTTTTTTGTTCTTGCGTTGTGTTGTAATTTTACTGTTTCTCGCTACCCACTCCTCTCTGTAATATCTATTGACCTTGAGGGTAAATAAATAAATGATGCCATAGCAGCCAAATATTCATAACAAGGTACAACTCCTGTTAGATAATTATTATGCATTGAACTGCTTTTTTGAGGCACATTTACCTTTTCTGTTATACTGTTTTCTTTCACAGGTGGATCAACAAACTTTTTGCGACGTGATTACTGCCATGGACAGTGGCGAGGTCTGGTGCAGTAAGCGCTGCCGAGCTTAAAAGTGCCGCTCGAAAACACGTATTCGCGGGTTTGGGACACGATCGCGTGTAGAAAGAAAAAGGGAGGTGTTTAGGATATTATGCTTGCTGACAAAATAATGAAAGAGGAGACGAGTCAATAAGGTCTCTCATGTATTTTCCTAATTTGCTCAAGGTCACTTACAAAAGAGAGCGAACAAGCCTCCTATTGGGCCAGTCACCCACATTCAAGTGGGTATAGGAATGTGCTATGCGAAGTGTGTGTTTGACCTCGATGAAATCACCATTACTTTTCTAGAACGCTCTTTTCGAATTCTATGCACCTCTTCCCAGCAAGCATTCCTGTTGTAGTGGTGAATTATGACGATGATGATGATGATTATGATGATGATGAAGATGATGATGATGATGACGCATGGCTTGTAATACTTTAGTAATGTATTAAGAGCTTTTACCAATCAACTCGCCATGTGATTGTAATGCCCGCCTAGTGCAACGGTAAGGAGCTGCATTACACCTGTGTAAGCTACGTTCATTTCTTTAGTATAGTGTACAATGACTGGTAGATTGCGTCTATTTGGCACATTTATCATGTTAAATAGGAAACCTACGTTTTAGCGATGAAGGGGGCCATGAAGTAAGAAAACGGACTATAATATTTTTCGCAGGTCGTTCCTGTGCCATCAGAATCATGGTAAGAAAAATGAATTCAATGCACTCAGTTTTGTCTGGTTCACCTCCGGCTTGGACAATACGGTACGAATAACTTTGTTTAAAGCAGCTGGAGGAGTGCCACCTTTTAGGTAGGCTCCGTCTTGAAACCTGTCTGCAACATTATTGTTCATAAACCCGATCAGTGCAGCAAAAAACTTTAAAGTATGGCGATGTCATAACGGCTCATATCTCCTACGCTGAGACATACTAAAAAGCACACTCAAGTGACTCGGCTTGTAAGTTCACCAGGATTTCATTTTAGCTAACTTTTTCATTTTAATTAGTTTCCAGTTATGTTTCTTGCTGGGTCTATGGTACGTGCGCGCCTGGTCATGAGGAGGGTAAAGACGAAGCTTGGGCACATTGCGAGCAGTAGTCTATGTCATTGCATGGATTAGTGCAATTTAGTAAGAAATAAGACAAAATACATATATCTGGATGTCACCTAACAATTTCTCACACTGCACGTTTTACTATGTTACAATGTCAATAAGATATGGCAGTTTAAACGTACCTGTAAATTATGTAAAAGCTTTAATTACACTGAATACAAAATTTTAAAAACAGCAATAGTGTGTTGTTTCAGGTGTATTTATTCTTAATTGTCCTGCTGTTCCTGGAATTACAGTGAGGTATTACTGTTATAAGGTTGTTAGATATGTAATTACAAGCGTTGTCTATTGTGTGCTCTACACCTATATGAGCGCAGCTGGCACCTTATTCGTGCGCCAACAGCTGCTTATATTATACATATAAAGAAGCCAAAAAACAGCTAATTTATCGGTGTTTTTGGTGTCAAAAGACGAACTTGCGTGCAGAAACAGCCTTTATTCTAGCAAAGGTCTCGTTTGAAGATAAGTAAAATTGTAAGGAAATAGCTTTATGGTACTGGTACACAACATGTTTTCTCCGGCTGTTCGTTATAAATTAAAATGTGTGTTAAAAATTGTTCTGCATTTCAGTAAACATCGCCATGTACACATTTTCTCACTTAAGCAGATTCGTTTGCTCTAATACTACACCTGACCTAGCGTCAACGCTTCGTTAAACAAATTACAAAAAAGCACCACGTACGAGCCACTCATAACACTCCACCTTTCATGTAACAACTTATTGAATGCACAAGCTTCTCTATTCATTTGTTTGAATTTGTTCAACGTTTTAATTGAACCGGCTATTGCGAGAGGTTATTTATAAAAACTCACCTGGGCCTCCTTCGGAGGTATAGTATGTAATATAACCTTTGATGACAGCTGGAAGAAATGTCGGAAGTAATATTTGCTAAATTAGGTTTTCTAGCTGAAATAAGCTTTGAAATTCACATTGTGCGGCAATAATTTCCTTGAAACTTATTTAGACTGAGGCTATTGTAAAGTTTCCTAAATATTATTATATTCGCGAGCAGCAATATTCTCTGTGTATCTACGCTGTATGACTGAAATATTTTCTGAAAAAAAGTGAAGGCAAGCGCATCGTCATATACCACTAGCTTCCACAACAATTTTTTTGAACTTTCCATCATATGTAGCGCTGACACAAATAGAAGCCGGTGCTACTCATAATACTTAGACTTGGCGACTATGCCTTCCCTTTCGGTTTCACCTATAAATAGTCAAAATATAAACATCCAACTTTCTTCCATATGCTGTCAATTCACATAATAAATATTCACTGTTGCATTATCTAATAAATAACTTTCTAGTTCACAGGTGGCCCGTGGATGAGAAACAGGTAGAATGCTTGTAGTAGTATTAGTTGTAGTAGTAGTAGTTGTAGTAGTAGTAGTAGTAGTAGTAGTAGTAGTAGTAGTGGTAGTAGTAGTAGTAGTAGTAGTAGTAGTAGTAGTAGTAGTAGTAGTGTAAAGAGGTTTATTGGGCGAACCAAACGGGCAGGTGGAAGCTTCGAGATAGCGACAGGACGAGGAAGATGGAGGAGCTCGAGCGCCGATCTCGGGCTGCCTTACTCTGCGATGATGCTTGTTGTTCCCTTTTGTTGTCATCATTCCTTCATTATAATTGCCCCCGTCGAGAAAGATCAAGCCATCCTGGCGATCTAACGGGTGGGAACGAGTAGGTCGAAGTACGGCTTCAAGCGGTCCACGTGAACAATATCGTGTCCACGCCGACGATGGTCACCGAGCGGTGTAAACGGTTCAATGGCGTAATTGACGGGCGATGTGCGCTCTACCACGTGGTATGGATCATGCCAATTTGAAAGTAGCTTTGTTGACAAACCAGGTGCACAGGGTGGTACATACAGCCATACAAGGGTTCCAGGGGTGAACTTTGCGGCTGGAGGGTGGTCGTCATTGCAGGCCTTTTTCTGGCTTTGCTGGTCAACCGTAGTAAACTGCTGCGCTAGCTGGCAGTATTCTCCAGCGTGACGGGCGGCTTCGGACATGGTCGTGCACTCAGGTACATTGGGTGAGCATGGCAGCAAAGTGTCGATTGTGTGCGATGGTTTACGTTCATATATAAGGAAGAATGGGGAAAAGCCGGTGGTGACTTGTACAGCGGTGTTGTACGCGTAGGTCGCAAACGAAAGAACGAGGTCCCAGTTCGTTTGATCTGATGCCACATGCGTCGCGGGCATGTCACCCAGGGTCCGATTAAACTGCTCAGTCAGGCCATTCGTATGAGGGTGGTAAGCAGTACTAATCCAGTGTACAATATGGCACTGACGGAGAAGTGCTTGGATTACGTCGGATAGAAATACACGGCCCCGGTCACTGGAGAGCTCGCGAGGAGGCCCGTGACGCAACACAAACCGATGGAGGATGAAAGATGCGATGTCCTGAGCGGTCGCCGTAGAAAGAGCAGCGGTTTCGGCATACCGTGTCAAATGATCTACAGCAACGATACTCCACCGGTTACCTGCTGTCGTCAATGACAGTGGTCCATAAAGATCACTTCCGACGCCATCGAATGGGCGGTCGGAGCACGCAATCGGCTGTAGTGGACCTGCTCCTAGATTCGGTGGCTGTTTTTGTCACTGACACTCATGGCAGCCGCGAATAAACTGTCGAACAAAAATAAACATCCCACACCAGTAGTACCGCTTCCATAAACGTTGGTAGGTCTTGAAGACACCGGCGTGAGCGCATTGCGGGTCGGAGTGAAATGATGCACAGATTGTAGAGCTCAGCTTTCGGGGAATAACGAGAAGCCACTTCCTGCCATCTGGTGAGTAATTGCGCCGGCACAAGGGGCCACCTCGAATGGTGAAGTGCGAAGTCTGGCCTCGCAATGCTCGAGTGGTTGGAAGTGTCGGTACCCCAGATAAAACATCCAGAAGCGAAGTTTTCCATGGATCGTCGCGCTGTGCAGAGTACATTGTGTCGATGACAAGAGCTGACAGCGCATGTAGAAGATATGGAGGCAGCCTCAGTGGACAATGGTGATCGCGAGAGCGCATCAGCATCGGCATGCTGGCGGCCGGAACGGTACACGATGCGGATGTCATAATCTTGAAGTCGTAGGGCGCAACGAGCAAGGTGACTTTATGAATCCTTCAGCGACGACAACCAACGTAAGGCATGATGGTCTGTAACTACAGCAAAGGTGCGGCCATATAAGTATGGGCGAAACTTCACAATCGCCCAAAGTATGGCTAAGCACTCTTTTACGGTTACACTGTAGTTTACTTCAGCCTTGTTGAGCATTCTGCTGGCGTAGGCGACGACATACTCAGGGAATCCAGGCAAGCGTTGAGCGAGAACTGCACCGAGACCAACACCACTGGCGTCTGTATGGATCACAGTTGCAGCCTTGGGATCATAATGGCACAATATAGGCGGTGATGTCAGGAGACGGTGAAGAGTGGTATTTGCGTGATCACACTTAGAAGACCATGACGAGATGTCGTTGGCACTGCCTAAAAATTGGGTCAAAGGGGCAGTTATGGAGGCAGAGTTGCGCAGAAACTGACGAAAGTAGGACCACAATCCTACGAAGCTGCGTAACTGTTTTACAGTCGTCGGTTTGGAGAATTCAGCGACAGCGCGTAGTTTAGCCTTGTCGGGAAGAACGCCATTCTTTGATACGAACTGACCAAGAATGGTGAGCTTTCGAACAGCGAAGTGGCATTTCTTGAGATTCAGTTGGAGCTGCGCATTCTTCATACACGTGAGGACATGTTTCAGGCGTACAAGATGTGTTGCGAAATCGGGTTCAAAGACGATGATATCGTCGAGGTAGCAGAGACATATGTTCTATTTCAAACGCCGCAGAACCAAGTCCATCATGCGCTCAAATGTGGCCGGCGCATCGCATAGGCTGAAGGGCATGAAATTGAACTCCTATACCCCGTACGGTGTCACGAAGGCTGTTTTTAGACGATTGGCATCTGCTAAGGGCGCCTGCCAATACCCCGAACGCAAATCTAACGACGAAAAAAAAACCAGGCACCTTGTAAACAATCAAGGGCGTCATCAATCCTGGGCAAAGGGTATACGTCTTTGCGAGTGATCTTATTTAGGCGCCTGCAATCAACGCAAAAGCGAATTGTACCATCCTTCTTCTTAACAAGAACGGCAGGTGATGCCCACGGACTTTGGGAAGGTCGGATAACGTCGCGCTTTAGCATATCACCTACCTGTTCGGTGATAAGCTGACGTTCCGTGGTGTAAACACGGTATTGGTCACTGTCGTACTGGTGCATGGAACCTGTGTCGATGCAGTGAAAAAACTGGGAGTTCGGCCAAGGGTGTGTTAGGCAACGTCAAAGGATTCACGAAACGGGTAGAGCAGCTGAAGAAGCTCAGAGCATTCACATGGCGATAGTCCGTCGATGAACCTGGTGATAGTGCGTCAGTAGTCGGGCGATAGTCCGTCGATAGTTCGGTGAATCAAAAAGCTCGGAAGGTGGCACATTGGAAGGGTTTAGGGCACTGATGGCGTCGTAGTCACCGGAACAATCTGGCGGCATGGTAAAAAGTTGTTCTTTATCAATGATATGCACGTGTCCAAGAGATACACCTTGAAACAGTTCGACGGGCTACGTAAGCGGATTTATGAGGCAAAGAGCACTGTTTCCTTCAGAAATGGAGAGGTTTGAATAAGGCAGAAGAAGTGACCTTCGACTAAGGAAGAGGCTTGATGGTTCAAAGAATGCAGCTTCGTCCCTAATGCCGTCACGAAACACGGGGAGCAACACAGTTGCTGTCGGACGAATTTCAGTGCCTTCTTTGACGAAGAGTTTGTGTACGGCGGGCTGAATGCAGCTGGTAAGTTGGTCATGAAACGGGAAGAGTTAAAGTTCCGTTCTTGCACAATCAATAACGGTGTGGTTACGCGATAAAAAATTTCATCCAAGTAGGATGTCGTGTGAGCTTGACGAAAGAACAATAAACTCAACAGTGTAGCGGTCCTTCGCGATCATCAGTCGGACAGTACAGGCGGCTACAGGCTGAACCGGGTCCCCCTTCGCTGTTTGCAAGGACATAATATCAAGAGGCGTCGTCACTTTTCGGAGCTTGCGGCAAAGTTTAGCATCTATCACGGAAACGGCAGCACCGGTACCCAATAGAGCATATGCTCGAGTACCTTCTACAAAATTTTCGACAATATTCAACGGCAATGTCTGAGGACTTGAGCATTTCTACAGCACAGTTCTTGCCTCCTGAACTGCAGCGGTTAGTTTCCCGCGTGTTCAGGAGTTGGCCGACGACGCATGGGAGACAGGGAGCGACGACGGAATGAAGGTGAGCGACCAGACATAGTACGCGGACATTCCCGTGAAGATTAGCTTGACTGAGGATTTGAATTTTTTAGACGTGATGGAGGAAAGTCCATGAAGCTGTTCTGTGGCCGGGCGTCTGTGTATTCCGGCACGCGACGACGGCAGTATTGGGCGATATGGCCAGGTCTGCCGCACGCCAAACAGATGGGCCGGTTATCGCGCGTTCTCCACGTATTGGTGACGAGGGGAGCAGCCCATGCGGCAGACGGGGGATTTCAGGCTGTTGTAGCAATGGGAAGAACCCAGGTGGTGGACGGCTGAGCCGGGACTGGGGTATACGGCAGTCCCAGAAACCACGGGGGGTGGTGTAGCTGCTGCCGCTTTAGAGCCTCAGTGTACGTAAGAGGCGCGGGGACGGGGGGGGGCTGCTGCAAGGGCACTGGCATAGCCTCGGAAATCTGCTCCTGGACCACATGTCGGAGCATGGGAGCCAATGGTGGTGGGTGTCACAGTGGCTGTTGCTGCGAGTGCTCCTGGCGTTGAGCAAAAGGCAGTACAGAAAGCTGCCGAGCCA